TGGGCTTAGTGAATATGCCCAAGGACTTGGTTGACCAGCCCAAACCATGATCTGGCATCGGTGAGTGTCTTTTGGTACAGATCAAATTGCCTCCAGCATGGATTTAGAAGGGGTTCAGAAGATGTTATTTGGAGGCCCCCAAACTGCACCGTGTCTTGGCAAAATTGGAATTTTTTCTCTATTTATTACGATGCCGTTTTTGCACAATGGAGGAGAAAATCGAAGGTGTGAAAAAGGCTCCTTCGATGTCAAATAAGTAGGGTGTCATCCAGATTTCTACTTTGGGGGGATGTCTTTTATTACTTCATCATATAAAAGGCATCGCCAGAAAGGTAACCTTGTGGCATTCTTACATGAACCTTCCCCATTCTGTGATGAAGGTGGTGAGTGGCTGGGACTCTTTATCTAAAGGGGATGGAATTATCCATCAACAGCATCCAACACTGTTTTCTTTTGTTTAGGTGGCACTTGTAGTGCTAGCTGGAATGGTGACCCTGTATGGTGTGTTTCCGTTTGCACTGTGAATTCAGGTGTTGGTAGTCTATGGTTCTTCGTGGTTTGCCATTTTTTTTTTTGCGGTAATTACCATAGTGCTACACCAAAGCGGGCATGCCAACGGGTAAAAGAGGATGCCCCCTTTTCACATCTTCCCAAAGGGCCTGTCTTACGGGCTCTTTGAAGTGAAAAAATAAAATTGGGTTATGTCTTTTTGGGACTGCTCCTTCTTTGAGGTGTATATGTGCAGTGGGGCCAGACATCGGTTTTTGTTCTTGAACGCCGTTTCGGCAAATTGATTTAATAGCCAATTCTTGAGCTTATCAATGTTTTGTTCTGTTGGAAGAAAAGGGAGTTTGTTGGGGCGTGTTGGAAGTTGTCCCTCGACTTTTGCATTGTTTAGGGCTCGTCCGATTTTTTGTGTGCTTATCGAGGGCATGTGTTTCAATTGTTGTTTACAAATTGAGTTGTTGGCTTAGAGTCTTTCATCAATGCATGAAGTATAGCCGCTGAATCTTTTGTATATGTATAGGGCTTGTTTAGTTGTTCTTTTGGACGATTTCCACGGGAGCCAACCCTGACATACCGCGTAAAAGCCTCCCACAGCTCGGACGACTTTTCTTGATGGAATGAGGTTTTAAAGCCCCATATTCAGAAGGTGATGAGACATGGTGTCCCACTGTCAGGAAGATTGTCATCCTAGTGCTGTGATTTCTGGGGATATTCTTAATTTGTCTGGGATCCGGTTTGGCGAAAATGGAACAACATATGCATCAATTTCCCTTATCTGGCCTGTGTCTTTAGACGTATACGTGCCTGTCGTTTGATTGAATGTGATGTGGGCGATAAGTGTGTCCATGGCGGCTTCATTAGCCTCTAGGCTTTTCTGACCGCTTGAGCTGGTTTCTTAGCCCGGCATACCCTCGATAGGGTGATTGGGCTTCCCACAATTACTACATGTTTGTCCCCATGCATGGCATTTTAGCTGGCGTGATTCAGTTCCGTAGGTGCCATGCTGGTGGAGCAAGCCTGGTGGTTTGGTTTAACCAGTTGCAATAGGTGCTGGTACGGATCGCCTCGTTGGCTTTGGTGTACCCTTCTGTCTGCGGTATTTGATAGCCGAGCAGCAGCTGTATCTGAAATGATTGAGGTTTGGTCCCGCAATGCTGATTCAAATGCCTCAGCATGACGGATATTTTGTTCAAAGGGATTTAATTCTTTAGTATATTAGCCTTTTTTTTATTCCACGGATGATCTGGTCCTTGATGTATATATAGGTCATGTTCACACGAGGGGCAGGTATTACAATCAACGGCTACGGCTCTGTGGCGGACAAGGTAACTTTGTATTGGCTCATCAGCATCCTGAGACATTGCAAAAAAGGCGATGGACAATAGGACTTTCTGGGTGACCAAAACCATGTCAAGTAGATTTCAGGATCAGTGGTAAAACAGTCAGGGTGTGTATTTGATTATGGCATTTTGCACAGCCTCATCAGCACAATTGTATAGGTGAATATTAGCTTGGGAGTTTCATTTGTCATCTTGGTAAAGACATCCCAGTCAATTCGGAACTTCCTGAATTGCTGTGGTGTCATCTCGAGATGAGATAGGATTGGCTCGTGCCTGAATGCGGGTTGTCTGGGTGGTGGATTCCTTAGCCTGCTTAATGATACACAGGGCTTCTCCCATTAATGTGACTCTCAGCTCTTAAGCATAGATCGATCCAGCATTTGAAGGGCTCGATTGTCAGCTTTCGTCCGCAAACCTTGTTGCATGAGTTTTGGCCGAGTCGGTGGATATGCCTGCTTCAATGAAGAAGAGTTCCCAATTTTCAGGTGTTAGATCCTGTTCGCAGCGCCATGTCGAACGGCTCAAAGATAACCTCCAGTTGTGGAGCAAGCTTGTGAAGACTAATTCAACATAGAGACAAGCTATTTATGGTGCAATGGAGCATCTCATTATGCTAAAGTGGGATAGTCCATTGCTTGGGCTCTGATTGGCTGCTGGTACCTGGTGGAAGTATTACTATATAAAAATGATCAGTTTGCAGGATAAAGTTACAACCTGCTTTATTTTGTCTGCCAGCTGGACGCTAGTTGGAATTCTTACGCCGGTACTTTTTTTATTATTGTTATTCTACATATATATATATATACAAATCTGTGATAGATCCATGTGCTCGTATGTATGAACATATACCACATGCTTGTTGTCGTCGTGGTTATTTTGACTTCACGAGCTGCAACGCGATTTTCGTTCCGCGTCTCGTATACACACTAGTTATTCGTTGCTTTGAAATTTTTCACCAACAAAAAAACAGACTATCATCATTGTTTTTATTGGTTGATATATTGAAACGAAAAATGTCATCTTTGATTTTGTAAGCCGAAAACTTAAATTTAAACATGCATCAATAAATCTTTCGTCCTTCAATGATAATGATATAAAGCTTATCAGACAGTATGAAAGAAACTTACTTAAAATAAATAGACAAAACTTGTCTATATTATTAAATGAAACATGCATCAATGTAAATTGCTCCCTAAATATACACAATATATATATATATGTATGTATTAGATAGATAGATAGATAGATATGAATATGAACACAGTATCTTGACTATGTTTTGAAAATGAAAACATTATATAAATACATACATTCAACTATCTATTTCTCGTTAACAGTTAATATATTTCATCCTTGAACAACAATAATAACAATAGCATGGGACCAAATAACAGCTACCAGTTAAACTTCCGAGTTAGTGTTCTTAATTATAACTTCAAGTATCCCCTATCAAAATAAAGCCTGGCAGTAGTTTAACCTTATTTTAACACTACATTTTTCTCTTCCTCCAACTCCTCCTCCTCCTCATCCATCACTATTTCAAGTTGTATTATCTATCCCTCGCCTTACACGGCTGCTAATTAAGCCAATATTCCTGGGCGTGTTTACCAACATTTGAATATTATGAAAAAGGAGAGCAAGGAGTAGCAAATATGCTGACACATGCGTACAGATAAGTGCCAAGTTTGTTCAGAGTGTTCAGGCGAGCAGATAATGATTGCAATAATCAATATATTGAATTAAATAAAGTCAAGTATGGGATAAACAATCTAAAAGAAAAGAAAATTTAAATTATTATTATTATTATTATTTAATTTCCTTTGGTTTCTGTGGTATTCTCATTTCTTTCAGAAATGGCATCATGACACTTTTCACTGAGCCATTTTGAAATAAAATTCATATCATAAATCTATCTGGATACTTGAGAGTAGAATTTTTGTATTTCTTTAAGGCATGGTCCAGGGAATTCCTTCAATGGAGCTATTGGAATCTTTCCAATCAATCCGAGGTCTTCAAATACAAATGGGTAGATCTCCTCATGCCACAATTTTGCGATTTCGATTTCAAGCTCCTTATATTTCGATAATGTTTTAAAGATCTTCAAAGATACATTGCAGTCTGAAGGAACTGTCATATATATAAGGATGCACATTTTCTCTTTTCCGTCTCTAATTACGAATCTAAGCGATTAGCTTTGATTGTTCACTCTGTGCGTATTGTGAAGTCCCATAAAATTGTTTCATGTCCTCTCTCCGTAACAGGATCTGGGTGGTGTCCATACCACTTTCTAGCAGTTTCTTACGCTTTTTAAGTAACAAAATGATTGACGTATCTCTTGCAGTATTTCGAGATAATATCTGTCTAATTCTTAGTATATTAATTTTTTTTTTTTTTTGTTTTTTTCAAGTATACAAATATTTACCGTATTTTCCGGTGACGTGGTGGCATGGAAGACGCACTCAAATATTGGAAAGAAATTTTGAAGAAAAAAATGTCATTCTCATACAAAACAACACATTCACCATACTCCCTCACATACTGGTACAAAGTATTGTTTACATTAATTACTCGTCCAATTTTGTCTGTATGCATGTGTGCTTGTCGCTCGGCTGCTGTGCTGTGCTCATTGCTGTTTGCTGTGTGTCATTTGCTGACTGTTTTGTCGGCTCCAGGATGTTATGACTTAACAAATTGAAATCTAAATGATGGAAATATTGCGCAACAGACAAATCTGCGTTCCTATTATGTTGTCGTGTTTATACGTGCCTTATTCGGCTTGTAAAAAAATATTTTCAGGATAGAAAAATGTGCGTTTTCTAAACAGGATGAGTAAATCTAGATAGTTATAAATAAATACAAACGTTGATTGTTTTACTAAATGAAATGTAAATGGTATAATATATGATATTTTTAGATGATGTATCACATATTCTGTGTCCCAACAAAAAAGTCCTATAGAAAGATAGATCCAGATATTTTTTTGATAAAAAAAAACAAAAAAAAATAATAACACACATTTTACAGTAAAATCGTAATGCGTAAGATAGATTTTTTAATGCATAATAATGTCGAATTATAAAAATAATCCAGTAAGATAGAATATAAATAGGTATGCACATTGATCTAGATCTATCTATGATCCTATCTATCTATCTATCTATCTGGAGAGAGAGAGAGAGAGAGAGAGAGAGAGATAGATAGATAGATAAAATAGATAAAATAAGTAAAAACATACTCGTCTGTGTGTCTATCAATGATATTTTTACATATAAAAGGGTTTGGATATAGTGAATGATGATAGGCTTTAAATAGATATGCACAGATGTGTGTGTGTGTGTGTGTGTGTATACAGACAAATTGAAACTAAATGACAGACAATTAGATCGTCTACATAAAAAGATTAGATAGATAGAATAAACAGGATGAGATAGATAGATAGATAGATGATAGATAGATATGCACAGATCAAGATAGATAGAGATAGATAGATAGATAGATGGATGACAGATGAAGATGAACAGACAGTGATAGATAGATGATCGATCTGATAGATAGATAGATAGATAGATAGATGATAGATGCACAGATCAAGATAGATAGATAGATAGATGATAGATAGATAGATAGATAGATAGATAGATCTGAACAGACAGTGATAGATAGATGGATAGATGATAGATAGATGGATAGATGAATAGATAGATGCAGATCAAGATAGATAGATAGATAGATAGATGGATGAGATAGAAAGATAGATAGATCTGACAGATGATAGATAGATGATCAGACAGATGATAGATAGATAGATGATAGATGATATGCACAGATCAAGATAGATAGATAGATAGATAGATAGATAGATAGATAGATAGATAGATCTGAACAGACAGATAGATAGATAGATAGAATGGATATGACAGATGAGATAGAGATAGATAGATAGATGAGATAGATAGATAGATAGATAGATAGATAGATATATGAACAGACAGTGATAGATAGAGATCAAGATGATAGATAGATAGATGATAGATAGATAGATAGATAGATAGATAGATGAATGATGATGAATAGATCTGAACAGAAGTGATAGATAAAAAGAAAGGGTGAAGAAAAAAAAAGACAGAAAATAAGGAAGCCGGGAAGGAAGGATAAAATAATTAAGAAACAAAGAAACGAAAGATGTAAGGGAGAAGAACAATAAAGAAGCATAAAGGAGCAACGAAAGACGGAATAAAGAAAAAACAACATTGAAGAAAGAAAGAAAGAAAGAAAGAAAGAAAGACAGAAAGAAAGAAAGAAAGAAAAATAGGAAGAAAAAAATTAGAAAGGAAGAAAGATTGAAAGAAAGAAAAAATAGGGAAAATCGAAAGAAAGAAAGAAAGAAAGAAAGAAAGAAAAATTAGGTAAATAGAAAGAAAGAATTTAGATACTATAAGAAAGAAAGAAAGAAAGAAAGAAAGAAAGAAAGAAAGAAAGAAAAATTAGGGAAAACAGAAAGAAAGTAAGAGGTTAGATACTATAAGAAAGAAAGAAAGAAAGAAACAAAAATAGGGAAAATAGAAATAAAGAAAGAGTGTAGGTATTATAAGAAAGAAAGAAAGAAAGAAAGAAAGAAAGAAAGAAGGAAGAAATTACACTGGACGGTGAGATATCGGCCAATGATTCAGAGAGAAAGAGGGTAAGGAGCATAGAGAGGACATCGATAGAGTGAAGTTTACGCTGTCTTCCACTGGCAATGGGATATATTTTAATTGCACAATTTGTGACACATTGGAACATTGTTGGTCTCTTGGTGCTGTTCAAAATCTAGCAAACATCAGACAAACACGAGGCGAGTGTCTTCATAGATTAGCAGCTGCGAACATGACGTCAAAAGAGACAAACAAGATGTCGGTTATTATTCTAGTCAAAGAAAACCACTCCTTTGACTTTTCATCACAGCATAGACCACATTTCTGTTTTGTGGAGTTGGGCTTTCATTTCATGTTTAATCTATCTATCTATCTATCTATCTATCTATCTATCTATCTATCTATCACTGTTTGTTTAGATCTATCTATCTATCTATCTATCTATCTATCTTAATCATTTTCTATCTATCTATCTACCTTGGCACATTTGTCCAGGCGAAATTCCATTCACATATCATCTATCTTGAAGCACTTGTCCAGGCGAAATACTATCTATCTATCTATCTATCTATCTATCTATCTATCTCTCTCTCTCTCTCTCTCTCTATATATATATATATATATATATATATATATATATATATATTGGACGTGTTTTCCGAAGCGCGTCTGTAAGCATCTTTTTTAAACAAACATTAAAATTTCTAATTTTATTTTCAACTCTAAGTCTAAGTTTGAGCTTTCAATTTGATGTAATGGCGGCACTATAGGTGGTAACCACCTATAAGTATTCGTTAGGACATCGGACGGGAGAATCATGCTGGGATTTGCGAGAACTAGCGGCCTTCCGATAGCAGCACGCACACAACTGTACTGACTTACGACGACCGTGCGCATAACTATTACTTATTTTTTTTTAAATTTTTTTTTTAAGCATTTCACCCCAATTGCTTGGTGTACTAGTTTCTACAATAAACCTGTTAATATTTATCCATTCCATATTCCTATTAGCACGGAATATAACACAATTATATTCAAAATTACATTATAGTGCAATTAAACCATTTTACAAGCCTAATAATTCTCTCAAACAGCGTCACGAATTTGCGAGACCCAGAATTATTATTCAACACTGTAAATAAACTTATGTACCTGAAACTGTTATTTAGCACTGATCACTGATGTTTCTAAAGGAGATCTTTATTTACATTCTTCGGACTATTGTTCTCATCTTTGTCGCCATATTTATCACAACGTTTCGGCCGTTGTACGCTTCGGCTTTCTTCAGGTGGTTGGAATTTCGAACTGAACCCTTTATTTCGCTCACTGGGGTAGACTGTTCTAGTTCCATGTGACATGTTTAATGGATGTCAGTTATCAGTTATCTCCTGCTAATTTCCCTTTGAAAGTTCTCCACTGCCTTAACCGGGTATTGAAATCACACTATTTAGGTCAAGTCACTGGATCTAACCAACGCCTTTATCCACTGTGCCATGTGTCCTTGAGGACAAAGGAGATCTGTATATATTTGCATGTGAACACTTACACGTACATTTATTTATATTTATTTATTTGAGTATATTCCCTATTTTGCTTCTTTTAGATAATTTCTTTTTAGGTGTAATAACCCGTCTGTGCATTCTACTGTGACAGTCACCAGGATATGGAAGATTTTCATCAGGACTTAGTGAGATGTTGAGCGTTTCCCCGTGCGTGTATTGAAATAAGGACAAACACATACGTAGGGAAAAATACTGGTATATCTGAAGAGTTATTTACAACAGAGAGATTAGTAGTCAAACAAAATCAGGTTAGTCAGTAACAATCAGAAAGAGTATAAAGTCTAACTGTATCTTCCGGTAGAGAGACGGAAGTGTGATGGTCACCTGATCTCTCAGAACTCTATAGAACTGTCCTATTGGTAGTAGAGAGATCAGTCCATTCTGATGAGAAGGTGGGTGGCTCTAACACTTACTGTTCCCCACTAAGAATATATTGGTCTCCGGCAAAATAATATTAGGAACTGACCCCACTAAACAGTAAGTTTCATCAAAAGAACACGATGGACGTTATTCTTTGCCAAGAACAAACACGAACATCTCAATCGGAAAGAAACCGAATCTTTTGGATCTAAATCACAAAAAACGACACAAAAAGAGGAGCTACTCATGGGCTTTGAGACGGAGTTATTCTCATTTATAAATAAGATCAAATTCATTAACACTGCTAATAAACTTCAGAAAAATGTACGTAATCTTCTCCGCTATCAACAAATCTGATAAGATCATTATCAAGTTTGATAAAACGGGAAGCCACTACCAGATTGATGTCGACGCATATTACAAAGCCATAAACAAGACGTTCAATAAGATTTATAAAAAGAAGCCTCACAATTCGGAAAATTCTTTCAACAGCGATGCTAAGAAATCAGCCTCCGATCTAAAAATCGATTGTAACATCTACAAGTTGTATAAACAGCAAGCTTTTATTACGTTGAAGGCGACAAGGAAGATTTCCTACACAACATAAAATAATGCCTAATCAATCCATGCAAAAATAATATCGTTAAAACAAGCAAGAAAATCATCTAAATGCCTGCAAATACACAAGAAATAATTTAGGGATAAACCAATGGCATAATACAGCTGAGGTCATTGAAATAAAAAAAAGAAAAGTGAATGCTCTTTTATTCAATTCGACATTATCATAGAGGAGCTACTAACAGCTACGATAAGTCTAGCCAACAATTACTCCCCCATAAGCAACAAGGATATCGACATCCTTAAACAGGCCCAAAAACTAACACTTTTCCATGAAGTTTCCCTGTTACGTAATGTTATAAAATAAAATAAGACATATTTCGGCAAATAAACTAACTTAGTCAAGAGCGAGAGCCGGATGTTAACGGGACAAGGCCCGTCACAAAATGACCATTATCGTCGTTTGCACATAGGCTCGACGCACGAGTTCCGGGCGAAAAATAAAATAATATTTTAAAGTGTTTCTATTTTTCGACCAATAAAAATGCTTCCCTCCTAATTATACTCGCGTCGTTTTACGAGCCTGTTAAGCCATAAAAAACGCTATAAAAGGGGTCACACGGGGAAGTACTAGAAGTCAACAGGAGGCCAGGGAAGAGATCTTTCACTGTCAGTCTGGGCAGTCAGCAGGAGGAGCGCCACGACAACTAGTGAGAACTACTATGAGAGATCAACCCAGATCGGCAGACGGCTTATGAACTATACCACAAGGTAGCTGTCCCAAACACACACGTTCCTATTGAGATAAATCACGTAAATCTATTTTTGCTGTTGTCGTATTTCTTTCTTGCAACCATACGCTTGTCTATAACAGTAACAACCCTTATTTTTGCATTGCGTTTGATTCCTAACACCGGTCTCTATAGGGACGACGATTTTATACGCCTGCTTAAAACGAGAGCACAACAAAGTGACCGACTAAGAAAAAGCCTGATTAAATTCTTTAAAGAAGACGGTCTGAACATCGCCAACCTGGCTACCAATGTTAAAGTGATAAACTTTGTGAATGTAAACTTTGACTTATCTAGTCGACTTTATAGAGCATTTCCTAAAGGTTTATACAAACATAGATGCATAAAAAAACAATCTAACCATCATTCTAGAATACAAATCAATTTGCATAAATCATTCCTATTTAGACTCTCTACAAAATCTAGTTATAAGTATAATTTCGGCAAGCATAAAAGCAAGTCTGTAGAAGCCATAGAACAAATCAACCATGAAACTGACATCAAGTTCTTGGACACTAGCAATAATGATGTCAACAAAACTTATCAGCGCCAGTCTATATTTCTGAGATACATATTTATCACAACGTTTCGGCCCTCTTCAGGTAGTTGAATTATAGAACTGAACCCTTTATTTTGCTAGCTGGGATAGACTGCTCTAGTTCCATGCTTCATGACTGATAGATGTTAATTATCAGTTATCTCCTGTCAATTCACCTCTCTCACAAATCTTTGGTTCGTGTCACTGGATCTAACCAACGCCTTTATCCACTGTGCCGTGTGTCCTTAAGCATAAAGCGTTGGTTAAATCCAGTGCCAGGTCCCAAAGTTCAATACCTGTTTATGGCTGGAGAGTACTTGGAGAGATGCAGAACCGGATGATGGCCGGAGCGTACAACGGCCGAAACGTTGGGATAAGTATGGCAACAAAGATGAGGACAATAGTCCGCATAATCTAAATAGTAAAACCTAAACAGCGGAAACACAATATAATCGTGTTTAACTCTCCCTTTAGCAGCAACGTCAAAACTGATATCGGTAGTTTTTTCCTGAATCTGACTATAAGCATTTCAATCATTCCACAACTCAAAAAAAGATTTTCAATAAAAACAACGTCAAAGTTAAGTACAGTTTTGATAAAATATCGACCAATATATATTACAGCCTATCAATGTTACACTAAACATTTAACCAACCTACAGAACAACCCACCCCAACAGAACTGCAATTGCCGAAAAATAAATCTACCCATTAAACGGCAAATGCATGAACAAAGGTTTAGTTTATAAAGCTAGCATCAAGTACGATGGCTAGGTCAAATCCTATATGGGCTCTACTGAAAACCATTGATAATCAAGCTTCTACCATCACCAGATGACATCTAGTAAAAACACTGCCCACGCTAATAAATATAAAGCAAGAATAGAAACCGAAATATCACCTAGGAATGCGTAACGAAAACTGAACCATTCAACAGTAAATGCGATAAATGTGGCTTATGTCTTTCTGAGAAGTTAATGATAAAAAAAATATAGGCAATCCTAATTTGTTAAAAAGAAGTGAATTAATGAACATTTGCATACAAAGAAATAATTCCTACTTAAGCATGTTTAATATATGTAGTTTTCTCATTTTCGGACGCCATAGATAACGAGGCACGGTGGAGTAATGGATATCGGCTTGGATTGAAGAATCAGTGAGCACAGTTCGAATTTCAGTCGAATCCATTACATTCACTTACGTGCTAATACTCTTGGGAAAGGTGTGAATCCTCCTCTTCTCCATTCAGC